CTCAACACCTCGAAATCCACCACATAAATTTTCGATTGCTTCGAATAACTTATGGCATCAAAGATGAAGGGGCATACCAAACAACATCACCCTTCGTATTTCTCGATCTTTCACTGCAAAACATCCAACCGCGAAGTACCAAATGTCGATGGATAACAAGGCTTCGCCCCATCTCTTCCTTCCTTCGTCCAAAACCCTTGAAGCCTCAATCTCCGATGGAAACCTGAACAGAAATAAATTGTGGGGAAGGGAAGAAACTTTCACCCCGCTCGAGACCTTCCAAAGGAGCCTGCTCTACAAACATCACATCGCCCCTGACCACGCCTAGCTCTCCAAAAGAAACCTCATAGTGAAACCATCCGGACCCGCATTCAGCACTTCCTCTTCAGAGATCAGAATCTCAAGACCCTCTCTATTTGCCTCATAGATCCTATCAAAATTAAGACCATCTAGCCGGGGTCTCGTAGAAACAGGCTCAGTAAACAGTCTCTGGTAGAATCTGGCAATCCCCCTATAAACATCATCCTCTTAAGACCACCCCATCCATGGTAAGTCTCCCTCCTTATGTGATTGCCCCTCCTATGTGCATTAGCCAACGGATGGAAGAACTTAGTGTTACTATCCCCCTCTTTAAGCCATAATGCTCTGGATTTCTGTCTCACTGCTCCTCTCCCTCCCCATCCCATTCTTTTCCTTATAATTAATATCAGAAATAAAGGCTCGGATCTCCCTTCCCCCTCTCCACGGAGATAACCTCTTCTTTTTTCTAACTGTTCTGTTCTGTTCTGTTCAAACTCCCAACATCCTCCGCATTCTTTCCCTCTGCAATTGAATGCATCACCAAACGAGCCTGCTCCTCATCTAGCTGAAAAGAAAGTCCCAACATACTACTCACAGTATTAATGTTATCCTTCACCCACTCTACCCCTCTGTCGTCACAAGCTAATGTAGAGAAATCCCTCCCGTGCCGCTGTAATACACATAATGGTTGCATCTCCAGACTATTAGTATCCTCCCATGGAACCATCTCCATAACATTCCTATCATTGCCCCCTCCCCCCAATCTGTCACGACCGTCATCAGCTGAAACCTCCATCCCGTTGCAAGCCGAAGGTGTTCCAAAATCCCCTTCAGAGTCATCCCCTACCGTTTCTAAGCCGAAGTCCAGCAGACAGTTCAATCCCTTCAACCCTTTTTATATCCTCAATTCCTTCACCAGTGCTGATGCAGCCTCTTGACTTAACTGAAACTTTGAATCTCATCCCACACAAACCGTAACTCCATCCATACCAACCGGCGTTGCCATATCTCTATTGCATTCTCCCTTAAGATCTTGGAAGAAGAACTTATTAGAATACCAAGTGTGTGACTACTCGAGTGTCCCATCTCATCCTCGGCTCTGTATCCAACACAATCCCCTCTGAATCCACTTCCACCACAGGCGATAACACCCCAGTTCTCTCCGACTTCCGGTCAACCTCCTCCCCCATTTCCATCCTCAACACCCCACAAGAAGGAGAAGAAGAAGGAGGAGTAGAAAGAAGGCTCCGAGAGTAAAGGAAAAAAGACATACCAGGTTGGCTTTCATTTAGGCAAACCCATTTTTGTTTCTCCTTTCTTGACCAACGCCTACTATCTCTGGTTGTGGGATCACCATCATCAGACGAACCGAATTACAGAGACCAGTGTTGTTGAAGGCGTGTCTAGGCTCGTACCTAGGCTCGAGACTTAAGTTTAGCGCCTGTTATCATCCCAGGCTCACTGATGTTTACTAGGCGCGCGCCTTGGTAGCGCCTCGTCCTGTTTGTGAGGCGCACCTCACTGATATTTGTTTAAAAAAATACGATTGTTCTATTTCTTTTTTGGCAACTTAATAAACAAAAAAAAAAAGCCCATGCATATAATAGAAGGAAGTTTGTTCAAAAGAATAAAAAAATAAGAAAGCTTAAGAGTCAAACTGTTAACCGAACAGCGATAGAATGAGATTGTGAGACGAAAACGAAGCCCTAGTTGCCAAGATGAACGACGAAGACACGCCAGTTCTTTCTTTCTTTCTTTCTTTTTTTCTCTTCTCCTCTAGATCTCTCATCTCTTCTTATCTTTGTTTACATCCCTCTCTTCGTCTAGTTCTCTTTTCTCTCATGTATTTTTTTTTTTCTTTTTCTTGTTAACAATTTTTTTTAACATATTTATTTCTTTTTGTGCTTTGTTCTGCCATTCAAAAAAACGCATTTTGCTTTGCCTTTCAAGAAAACAAATTTGTGCTTTGTTTTATAGTTGTTGGATGCTTGTATAGTTGATAGGTTTACTTTTTTATATTTGATATTAATTTTTAGAATATTGATATGACTTATGAGACATGAATGTTATTATAGTAGTTTAAATTTTCAATTGTGCACCTCACTTCACTCAGGCGCGCGCCTCGCACACTTGTTATTTGGGCCTTTAATAACACTGGCATAGACCAAAACCTATTCTCCAAAACCATCTGCACACTTGTTATTTACTAGCAATATTATAAGTTACATTACTTAAAAATAAAGAAAATTTTGAATTACATTCCCTATTTATTAAATCAGACAAACATATTTTCTCTGGGTATGCAAGTCCGATAAGTAATATTAAAGAACAAAGGTTATTTACAAAATACAGCACGTGGAAAACAAAAACCCCATAGGGTTCAGTGCTTTAAAAAAAAAAAATCTTTCCACAATCTCCCCCATCCCTTCATAGGATTTACAGACAAACATGTGAAACATTTCCAAAAAAAATCAAAGAGAATCCACACCCAACTAACAAACCAGAAAAATAACCAATGCCTACATTATTCAAGAAGGTGTATGACATCTATTCACTGCCTTTGTGCCATGAGACATGGCGAACGTGGCTAATTAACCTGGAAGCACTAGCTTCACTGCAAACATAGGCCCTGTTTGGGGGAGCTTTCTCATATTAAAAGTAATTCGTTGATAAGGCGATGGCAATATTGGTAGTTGTGGTGAAAGGTGGCGGTTGAGGGGGGTGGTGGTGGAATGTGACGATGTTGGTAGTGGTGGAAGGTCGCGGTTGAGGATGGCGGCAATGGTGGTGGTGGTAGCGGTGGAAGCTGGTGATGGAGATGGTGGTGGTAAAAGGACACGGTGGTGGTGGTAAGGTCATGGTGACGGTGGTGGAATGTCACGGTGGTGGTGGTAATGTAAGGTGGTGGCGGTGGAGGGTGATAGTGGCGGTGGCATGGTGATGGTGGTGGAATGCCACGGTGGCGGTGGTGGTGGAACGAAAGACCAAGAAAGAATATAGGACAATATTATCCATCTATGAAAAGTTCATGGGCAAATTAGTAAAATAATAAATTTATCCTTAAAAAAAAATTGACTTCTTAAAAGGAGATTTCAAAAGCAACATTTTTTTACTTCTCTGAAATGGAATTTTTGACCATTGGCTTTTGGAGAGAGTCTTTTATATACGCGTAACTTAACATCACAATTTTTTTAAAATGGGCTTTTCAAACTTGGAAATGTACCTCCTTTAGGACCTTTAGAGATGTACAATTTGTAGGTTTCCACTCTGTTATTTGACCTGTTCATTTCCTTATCTGCGGTGGTGGGCTTCATGCAGTTATACAACCTAGCCATTTTCAGAGGATGGAGGAAGCTACAACACTTGCACCGAGAGATTATACAGGGATCCACAGAATGAGAGAATTTTAAGTGGTAGGTTGTACTCCTAACCCTAAACTTGTACTAGCCTAAGGATAGACTTCAAAGTTGCTATATCATCTATAACCCTTATGTTGTGTTTGGTGTGCATGAATGAAATAGAATGAGAATGGAATGGCCTGGCCATTCTCATTCTATTGTTTGGTTATAAAAATGAAATGTGTATGAATGGATGATAATAACCATTCTAATATTTGGTTGGACCAATTTAAATTTTAGAATGGAATAAATTTCAAATTGAGTTCTCCAAAATATCCCTTTTAGTAACAAATAAATTAAATTAACAAAATGATATTCTTCTATAATTTTCTTAAAATGGTGGTAGTGGTAGTGGTGGATGGTGGTGACGATGGAAGGCGATAGTGGTGGCAATGGTGGAAGGCGGTAGAGGTGTTGGTGGAAGGAGGTGGCGGTAGTGTGGTAGTGGTGGTAGAAGGAGATAGTGGTATAAGTGGTGGTGGAAACCAATGAAGGTGATTGTGGTGGTGGTGGAAGGTAGTGGGGGTGGTGGTGGTGGAAGGCGATGGCGGTGGTCCTTAACATGAAGGTGATTCTCTGCCTTCTAATTCCTAAACTAGAAATAGTATTCGAAATTCCTTAACATATAAAACCCTGAATATACAAAATCAAGAAAACAGACAACAAACCCTAATTCTAAAATTCCAAAATCATATAACAGTTCTATTTTTATGGAGTATATATGTATATGTACGTCTCTGTGTGTGTGTGTGTATTATTTGTAAATTAACAAATTTTTAGGGTTAACTTGACAAATTCAAAGGTTGTTTATGTCATTTTACATCGTGTCATAACTGTTCAACTAACGGTTGGGGTGTTAGTGAAACACGAAGCAAATGTTTGTAATGTTGGTGATAGTTATTTTCGAAAGATGTTTGAGTGTGAAATATGGCCAAACCTAATGTGGTGTTAGTGAAATTAACCCAAATATTTATACAACTAATTTACTACTGTAAGGGAATCTCTCGTGCAGCATTAGTGCTATTCTATAAGGAACTGAGAGGGTCCCAATCATGTTTGTGAAGATTTTAATTAAAACAGAATAACAGCTTGTGGTTTGCATTAGACTGCTCTCTCTTAGCCTCCAAACTTGATTGTGTTGTATTCATATGGAATCTCTTTTCATCTTGTTGTAGAAGCTTGATTTTAGGTTTCCTCAAGGATATAAGACATAAAAGCAAAGTAGTGATGAAGATGATTTTTCTCTTCTAATTTCCCATTATTTGGTTGCGTAAGAACTAAGCCATCACTTGTTTTGTGCAGCATCCAATTACTAACACTAGGCGTCGGAAAATTTGGGCAATGTCTAAATTTATTGAATGGGGATCACCTGTTTTATCACAAAAATTACAGCACCTTAGATTCCACTTGATGGAGCGTGATTACAATGGGTTTCTTTCGTATCGGTTACCAACGAACAATAGGATGGGTGAAATGATGCAAATGGCGGCTGCAAATTTTCTACATTTCAAAAGTTGTAAGTTCTTTGCATTAGCAATCAAGACTGGATTAACACGCATATGATTTGCTTACCTAAGCACCATTTTCGAAGGTAAGAATGATTTCTTTCCTTCCTTTTTAAGGTTTATCCGTTCATCCTCTTTTTTCTTATCCTTTATTATTTTGGGAACAAAAGTGACTTTTGAGTTCAATTGTTTTGCAAATCTTCTACTTCTTGTTACATGATGGATGAGTCAATTAGGCATTTGATTTTGTGTTCTCTTCATACACTGGTAATTGTGTTGTATTATTATTATTATTTATTATTGATTAGTTTAGATGACGTTTTTTCTAAGGAATCTCTCCGTTCCTCTTCCTCTTCCTCTTCCTCTTTCTCTTCTTCTCCATCGCAAAGCCTACTCTCTCTCTCTCTCTCATTTTCTCTCCCTTCTGTTTTCTCCTTAGCTTTCTTTTTCTTTTTCTTTTTCTTTTCTTTTCTTAACAGAGCACAAATCCTTTTATCAAAAAAGCCCTAATACTCTCGACTTTTTTTTTTTTCCCCGTTTACTGACTCTCTCTCTCTCTATTTATCTATCTTTCTTTCTCTCTCCCCTTTCTCTTTTCACCTCAAAACACTATTTTTCTTCTCAAAACACTTATTTTAATAAATTCTTTCTCCTCTCCTCTCTCCCTTCTCCCAATCTAACTAATGAATGGATTAAATCTATTTTGCTGCAGTATTTTGTTCAATTTTTGCCTTTTCACTTTTCACTTCCTGTATTTTGTTGTTGCATTTGTCCCATTTAATTTTTTTGGTTGTTGACATGTATACCCATTGTTTCACATCCAAGCAAGTTGATTATGAATTTATTTTTTTCGTATTTTGTTAATGACATGTAAACCTTTTGTTTCATATTCAAAAAAGTAGAATATTTTTTATTTATTTATTTATTTTGTTAAATGTCATTGGTGAATGAAATATAGGAATTTGTTTTTGTTCTAGGTTGATGACACCATGTTCTTCCATAGTCAATTTTTTAGAGATTTGCAATGTGACCAGGTTCAGTAGTCATTAAGAGGGCCGGCAAGGGTGGGCAAAGACAGGTGGGTTTTGCAAGTCTAAAATGAATTGCAAACCAAACCGTCATAGATTTTAGCTGGTTGACCACAAACTACGTAAATTTTTAAGCCTACATTTTTTTTCAACCATTATCGGAGGTAAAGAGAGAAGTTATTTTTTTTATTAATTTTTTTTTTTAAATAAGTAATAATGAATTAAAAATGGCATTCAAAAGCGGAACGCGTGCCATAAACATTAGAGAAAGGTCTAAGGCCCCAAAGAATCCCAAAAAGTAATTAAGTCATCAGAAGAGGAACAAGAACTCCTTTTCACATAACTAAAGAGAGAATGAATGATAATAAGTTTTAGTGTCGCTGTAGATGACTCATTCCCTTCAAACATTCTACTATTTCTCTCCTTCCATATGCACCACCAAACACAATGTGGGATAGATCTCCAATAATCACGTACACCCCTACTCACATGACATCCTCTTTAGGCATGAATTAATTCCTTAGTAGAATATGGTGTTACCCAACACATGCCAAACAAGCCAAGAATAAGATTCTAGCAATCGTACGCCACAGAGCAATGCATTAGGAGATTATTAACTGACTCCCCATCTTGCTTGCATAGGCAACACCGATTAACAAAACAATTTTCCCTCTTCCTCAAATTATCAATCGTCTGAATCTTATCCCAAACAGCGGTCCATACAAAGAATGCCACCCTAGTATGAGCCATAGAGCGCCAAATGGTCTTCCATGGGAAATCATAGGTTACAAAATTAGACAAACATAAGAACAAAGATCTTACTTCAAAGCGACCGTGAGAAGAGGGAATCCATATCAAATTGTCATAACCCTTGCCAATTCCTTTATACCGATACAATTGGTCTAAAAAAATGCTCACCTCATCCAACTCCCAGTCCTGAAATGACCGCCAAAAATGAATATTCCACGTAATCCCACTATTATCAAGCCGATAACAGTCCCATGTTTTATCAACTGCAATATTGTATAATCTGGGAAATGTACGAAATAAAGGTTGATTTCCACACCAAAGATCTTCCCAAAAACGGATGCTACTACCATCACGAACTTTGAATCTGATATGAGAGGAAAATGCATCTCATCCCTTCCGAATGGATTTCCAAGCCCCAACTCCTCCCGCGATAGAAACCGGACGTGTAGTCCAACTACCAACGTCTTCCCCATATCGACAAGAGACTAATCTACGCTAAGGACGGTGTCTTTCTGTGATACCCTCAGATCTCTGGATGCGGGTTGGCCAGGCCCACGCCCGATTACCAGAGGATATCAAATCAATTAGTAATTAACAAATACAGAACACAATTAAGATAACAAGAATGAATAAAAATTTGTTGAAAGAAACTAAAATGAAAATCCTTTATTGAAAAACCTCAAAATAAATTTTATAAATAAGGCACTAGTTTGATACATCCAACTTCTCTTCCACTTCTAATACAAATCGTTCTCCAAATTATACAACTCGGGAATCCATCTAGTGGAACCCTAAAATATCCCACTGAACTCAAATGACTGGAAATAAAACCCAAGTCTAAAACATGAAACAAAATCCTACGTCGTCGATGGAGTGAATGACTGTATCTGCTCAGCACGATCCAGCTCTAAGCCTGGAACTGACGAACACCTGTAAAAATAAGAGTGGGTCTGGCCCACATGTAAATTCTATTCTGTTTGCAATCCAAACAGTGACCCGATACGCAGATGCATCCTAGATATCTCAACAATAGCTATCTAGTCCATACATATATAAATATCCACACTATGGGACATTCGCTGGACTATATAGGGAGTCTCAATCTGAATAGAAGGCAACATGTAAAAACGCACCCAAAGGTGGGCATGAGTACCCAGACCTAAAAGGGTACACCTCAACCTATTATAGCCAGCTGCGCATCCACTGCATATACGCGCCCTAGCCAACGACTCTGAAACTCAAGCTCATATCGTGGTACCATAACCATATATCTAAAGTCCGTCCAACCAAAGTATGTCATTCAATTATTCATTGAGGTGATATACAATACACAATCCAATTAGTCACTCAACTTATTCAGTTGATATGACTTAACTACAATCAACAGTTAATCCAGGTGGTCACTCAACTTGCTCAGTTGATCTGACCTAAATATAAGTAGGATTCAATATTTACAATCCATTCCCTTATTCCAATAGGGTAGGTCTTAGCGTTTCTGAGCTAAACCATCCTAGTATGTCACCGTCCCATATCGGTGCATACAATCCTCCATATCCATGTAAATTACAACACATATATAACAATTTAGTAATTTACAGTCCAAAACCATCATCCAGTTGAAAACCATCATCCAATTGAAAACCATCCTCCAATTAATTGCAGAATAGTGTATCTAATAATTTAGCAATTTAAAACAAATCCTTTACTCATGTAATTGCAGGAAGAATTAATGTTTCAGCAATATAAAAATCCAGAGCATACACAGGTCCATTCTATTAAATAAAGGACTCTACTGTGCATCTAAAACAAGAATTAGAAAATTGTTATAATTCATTAAATTGCTGTATTAGAATAAGCAAGTAATTTCCTATCCTTAATCCATGTAATTGCATAAAGGGTTTATTAATTCAGCAATTATACTTCAGAGTGTGCACAGATCAAATTTATTAAGTAAATGACCCTAATGTGCATTTAAAATAAGATTAAAATCATGTTATAATTCCTTAAATCGCCCATTTAAAAACTAGCAATTACTTCCCTTCCTATCGATAACAGTCTATGAATTTGTCTAAATTTCACACTGATCATTCCCATCCTATAATGGGCTAACTTATGCAATTAGAGAGCTTAAGATCTCTTGAAATTACTTTTAAAATTATTAGTCCAGTCCCTAAAACAATTTAGAATTCCAAACATAGCCCAAACAGTGCCCGAACAGCTCCAGATTGCAACCAAACGTAACCTAATCAAAGGAGCCTGCTCTACAAACAAAAGAGCAGGCTCTAGACACTTTAGAGCCGGCTCCCTAGCCCTTGGAGCCGGCTATATGAAGGGGGGAGCCGGCTCCCAACTTCCTGTGGCCGGCTCTTTCCTTCCTTGAGAGCCCAGTTTCCTTTCCATCTCCGTTTCTGATCATTCGCTCCGTCTCTGGTCTGTTCCTACCCTTCTATTCTTCCTTAAAACTGGTCTTACCCATCTAGTATACATCCAGTATCAACCCCCAATCCTTAGTTTACCACAGTAAGAATTAATATAGTGATTTAAAACAACACCAATTTGTATACTTTGAAACAGACAACGAAGAACATAGTTGCAAGAATTATTTCAAACAATATACATATATACAGATGATCCAATAAACATATACTAAGCATGTAAGATTCAATTAATATTCAATTACTATCCTAGAGATCATCTAAGGATGCACAGAACACAGGGCAAAGGGAGAGACAGAATAGAACTTGCCTGTGTGGTTTTGGAATCAAAACCTTGTCGCCGTCTTCCTAAGTTTTTCGACGACTACTGAACACCTTCAAGCCTCCTACTATTCTAACTCTAATCCACAATCAACCTCCTTGGTCCTCTCTGTTTTCCTCCACTAAGTCTCACTCTGTTTTCTCTCAATTTCTAATTCTCTCTGTATCTTCACTGTGCCATGAATAGGGTTCTAAAACCCTAGGCAGAACTTATACACATATATATATAGGCACTAATACAACCTTAAGTTCAACTATTAATCTAAGGTGGAAACCCTAATCCTTATTGAAATCCAAAACCGACGAACAGAAAAACCTAATTACATAAAATATAATGATTAAAATATACATAATTTATAATTATATATATATATATATATATATATATATATATATATATATATATATACAACCTGCTAAATCCCTATTGTTAACATAAATAATAATTATGTATAATAATACCACTCTATCCTTGCAAACGTATATACTCAACTAGATATATACTACCATCCATATATGGGTAAATATTCGTACCCACAATCAACTCCATCC